GGAAGCAGGCAGGACACAGACACTGCCCGGTCACTGGGTCACAGGTGGCTCCGTTGTGACACTCACACAACTCCTGACAGCCGAGTCCATGGAAACCTGGCGGGCAGGCTGGGAAGGAGCCCAGGAGGGACGGCCATGAGTGACCGCACAGTGCTCCACTCGGTGGGCCCCGCTCCTCCCCCTCCCACTAACCGCGGGGGGAGCTGTGAGCCCGGGGAAGTGTCGCGCGGCAGCAGGCGCCTGTTCTGTGTCATGAAGGGGAGGGAGGCTGCGACAGGGCCATGAAACATCGCAGGGCACTTTCAGCTGACCAGCACTAGGCTGACCAATGCCAGGTGTCAGGGCTTGTGTGCTGCTCTGTCCACATGCCCAGTCCAACGGCGCAGTGGGGAGCAGGCCGGGGGGCACCCCAAGAGGTCGAGCAGGGCCTCCTGGGTGCCAGCCCAGAGCCCGCCCTTGCTGCGTGCGGGTGGGAAGGGTCGGTGCCATTGGGCCTTTCTCTTGCTGTGATGGTCCCATGGCCCAAGCACGTCAGATCTGCCCCACGTCCCACGTTAACCGCCCGTAGGAAACCCAACCTCGGAGGGCAGGAGCAGCAGCCCTGCACCTGGCACTTACTGTGTTCGCACACGTGTCCGTAGTGCCCTCTGCTGCAGCGGCAGGCGCCCGTCACTGGGTCGCAAGTCCCATTATTGCGGCAGGCGCAGGTCAGCTGGCAGTTGGCGCCGTACTTCCCCGGGGGACACTCTGCAGGGGACGCATGGGAGAGAGACGGCTCATATGCCAGCACGTCCGGAGGCCTGGTCCGGCTCCATCGCCAGGGCGCCCTGGCAGGGACCACCCAGTGAGGCATATGGCCTCTGGCCAGGGGGGCATCTCTTTGCCACACACACTCAATGCCTTTTGCAATGGCCGGACAGGTGCCAGGACAGGGCCCTTCCAGGGGGCTTACCCAGTTCGCAGAACCTCCCGGTCCGCCCCAGCCCGCACACACAGGAGCCGTCGGCTGCGTGGCAGATTCCGCCGTTCCGGCAGGCGCACGTCTGCCTGCAGCCTGGCCCGTACTGGTTCTTCCGGCAGGCTGAAAAAGACAAAGAGAGGGAAGCCAAATCCCGGCGTGATCAAAGACACTGCACCCGTGGGCGTGCGGGAGTCTGCCTGGACCCAGCCCCGCCGCCCTTTCCACGCCCCGGCAGTGAAGTGCCCGGTCCTGGTGAAACGTTTACCGTGTTCGCAGCTGGGACCGGTTCTTCCTGCTGGACAAATGCAGATGCCTGTCACGTGGTGACAGGTGGCTCCTTTGCCGCAGGAACACAGGTGTACGCAGTCCTTGCCATACCGGCCAGCAGGGCAGCCTAGGAGAGGGGAGAGGAGAGGTCTCATTTCCTTAAGAGATGGGGACATTCATGCCAGAGAATTCTTAGAAGCAGGCCGGGGCCTTAGAAAGGGCTTAGGTGGTCAGGACTCTTGGGGTTTTTTTCTAGGCGTGGCCACTAACCATATGATCTTGAGCCTGATTTGGTAAAAAAAGAGTCACCTGGAGCCATTGCACTGGAGCAGGAAAGCATTTTAAGAGGCTCCAGAGCTTCCAAGCGCAAGGGCGAGTGGCCGGATTAACGCCGCACTATCCCACCCAGCAACAATCGTGGGGCAGAAAAACACAAGCAAGTACGCGATTCCACGTCAATAAAAGCAAGAAATTCAGTCAGCGGTTTAGGAGCCGTAATAGTGAACAAGCTCTTGGTCCACTATTCTCACCCATATGATGCAGAGGAAACAAAACTAGTGCACACGGCCAATGGTGCAGTGTGGTACTGGGGCGCTCGGATTCCATCCCCACCCTGCAGACGATCCACTCGTGCCATGCAGCACATCATCTCTATGGGTATGTCTACACTAGAAAGTTAGTTCGAACTAACTTTCCTAGGCGCTACACTAGCGCTCCGTTAGTTCGAACTTAATTCGAACTAACGGAGCGCTTAGTTCGAACTAGGTAAACCTCATTTTACGAGGACTAACGCCTAGTTCGAACTAGCTAGTTCGAACTAAGGGCTGTGTAGCCCTTTAGTTCGAACTAGTGGGAGGCTAAGGCTTCCCAGGTTTCCCTGGTGGCCACTCTGGCCAACACCAGGGAAACTCTATGCCCCCCTCCCGGCCCCGGACCCCTTAAAGGGGCACGGGCTGGCTACGGTGCCCGTGCCAGGTGCAAGCCTGCCAGCACCCAGCT